AGAGTACTTCTGCCTGGAATAACCATAGTTACTTAAGCTGGGCAGAATTATTTATTTCATACATTTAAGTTCTGCTATAGGAATTTATACAAAGTTATCTATCCAATGTTCTAAATTTTATGCCAAACGGTTCTATGTGTTTCTATTTTTCTTCTTTCATTTTTAATCATTTTTGGATTTTTTTTTTTCACGAAAACCAGATCGATAGTACCAGTAAGCTAGCAAATCGACCTTTTGAGGTACTAGATGGGGACGTCACAGAGGTAGCAACGGTTGACAAGGCCAGCTGTCAATGTTCAAAGTCTCCACCCCAATGTGACTGCTGTGCCGAGTTGAAAATCTTTAAGTTCTCTGTAAAAGGTAACATCGTTTGGATTCATAAGTAACGGTTACACTCACATAGGAAAACTAGCGGGGTGTGTTCAGATCTTAATGCTATGAAAAATGTTACCACGGTTTTTTTTTTTAAATTTTCATCTAATGTTGTGTATTTTTTTAAATTTTTTCAGCCTGTGCTCATGCAGACATCGATCCGACCGGACAGGTGGGATTTTATTCACGCCCGCTCTTTCTTTGTCCGCCTTTTTTTTTTTTCTTACCTTTCCTTCTTTTACTTAATTTCGTTCCTTTCCATTTTTTTTTTTCGTGCTCTGTTCGCGTTATCCTTTTTGTTTGCTTCCATCCCGTTTACTGGTAATTCCCTTCTATCCATCAGTTTCTTCGTCTCTAATATATTTTTTTCCCATTTCTTGTTTCACCATCCCCCAATGCATTCTCATCTCTTCCCATCCCTTCTCGTTTCGTCTTGTCTTGTCTTGTCTCGTGTCGGTGAGGAACTTTCATTCAAGGAATTCCCTCAAGACTATAAAATGTGTACCCTGACCAGAGGTGTCTCTTTAACAAAAGTACTAAATGCAAAGGTTATACAGCGGAACCTCTATTCGGGGTACTCATGCGAGACAAAGAAAAGTGTTCCTTAAATGACGGCTACGGTCTTTTTCTTCTTTGTCAATAGGTACCAAAGTATTCCCTGACAAATTGTCCTCAAAAGAGACGTTTCAGTGCAAACGGAAGATAAGGGTCCCATTAATTTCTCTTGCTTAGACTTCTCAATGCTTTTTTTTCTTTTTTTCTTTTTTTTTCATCTGCCAGGGATTCGATTTGGAGTTGACTATCGATGGTCACACTTTATTCAAGAAGCATATAACAAGTGAGTAAAAGCTGAAAAAATCTCAAAAATAAGTTTCTTCTCCTGCTTTGCTCACGCCTTTAAAGACTTTGTGTAAACGTGCGATTCCCCTTAACCTCCTGTAGACCGAATGACCTTTATTTGAGAGACAAAAAGTGTTCTACTGAAGATCAACTCGTTCCTCTGATGTGGAAAGCTTAAACCGCAGCAAAAAATTTAATAGCTTGAACAAAGTAAAAATGAACTTACCTTTATCTCAACCTGTTTCTCGGTCACGCTGGTCACGCTGGTCCGGTCACGCTGGTCCGGTCACGCTGGTCCGCTCCATTGCAAGTTCCCCCCGCCTACAAGCTCGCCCCTGCCACGAACACCGCATTCCATCAAATGCAAGGAGTTAAGCCTTTCAGCTCTTTGAAATTTTCTTATGGTAAAACATATTTCAGTTTGAGCGGGCGCGGTTCCCTTGTTCTTCACAATTTTTCTGGCACACGGAATTTTAAAACTCCCAGTCAACTAAATTTTTGTAATGAAAACCTCTGTTACTTTAAAAGCTGACCTCTACCTACATTTTCCTACAAGAGAAGTATTGTTTTTTGCGATCTGATTGGCTCTTAGCATTGTGTTTTATTAACGAATCACAATCATTTTATCTCTCAGCCACTGATCAATGTCGTACAATACAATCATCTGATTCGTTCTCAGCAGTACAGTTCGAGGTCTAATCGGTTTTACCATTTTTTTTTTTTTTTCAGTTAAAGACCCACCGCCAATTTGCCACACTTTCAATTTATTCGGATTTCAAGCGAATGTGTGCCTTAAAATTACACAAGTTTCGTTGAAACCCGGTCACACAGGCGCATGCGTGGAAGTGGACGTGAACTCGGTGGATCTCCCTCTGGGATGTTTTTACATGGCGACCCACAGGGATCTGGGAATAGAATAGAATGATGGTGCGCCATACGCCTGATAGGATAGACAGAGCTGTTAAAAAATAATGTAACAGAAGCGTTAAGCCTTTTCTCCAAAAGTAATATGGCCAAGCTAAACTTTTATGTGCAAAGTCAGATCAATGCTTATGTTATTCCAAAATCATAGGTAAGAATGACGGCCTCCCTGAGAAAAAATAAAGTGTAATTCTGCAAAACATAAATACGGCTTGTTATGAATCCCGAAAAAACTTGAAATTAATCAAATCTGTAAAATGAAAGAATGGGATGAAGAATCTATTCTTGACAGTTTGAATAGACAAAATAAAAACAATTTTTGCTTGTTATTTACTTATTTAATTTTTTCTAACCAGGTTCCCGTTTCATCCACAGGGTTTTTTATTCAAACGTTTGCAACATAATTTTTGTCCTGTGAGGTCAGATCGAGTGGCCTCTGAAATACCCCACGATTTAAAATTTTTGCTAGGACTTGGCACTAGACCCCAATGGCAGGGCCAGTTTCCGTTGATTCCGGATGTGAAACTCACATGCGGACTCGGCGAAATTCTCTCTGGGATGTTTTTACATGGCGACCTACAGGGATCTGGAAATAAAAAAAAAGGAACAGAAGCGTTAAGTCTTTTCTCCCCAAGTAACATATCCAAGCTAAACTTTTATGTGCAAAGTCAGCTCAATGCTTATGTTATTCCAAAATCATAGCTAAGAATGACGGCCTCCTTGAGAAAAAGATGAAGGGCAACTCTTGTACACATAAATACGGCCTGTCACGAAAAACATGACATTAATTAAATCTATTAATGAGAGAATGGGATAAAGAATGTGTTCTTGACAGTATTAATAGACAAAATAAAATCAATCTTTGCTTGTTATTTACTTATTTCCTTTTTCCTCACCAGGTTCCCGTTTCGTCCACAAGGTTTTTTATTCAAACGTTTACCGCAAAATTTTTGTCCTGTAAGGTCAGATCGATTGGCCTCTGAAATATCCCTAGCACTACATGAGTAAATAGTAAAACGAAAAAGTTAAAAAAAAAAAACTGTTATCTTGAAATTGCAATGCGAGCTGCGTTACAGCAGGGCCACCCCATGAAACTCAATTTTGATAAAATCGACATGCGATGTTCCGTTATCTTTTTCACTCGAGTTTTATTTTTAGTTATAAAACAATAGTTTTATCTTTATTCATTAGAATCAATTTTATTGCCTTTTTTGACTCCTGACCTGCGCCTGAATCAGGCTTCCTAATTGGTAAAAGGTTGTCCTCGGCAAGATCTGATGCAAGTTTCTTTATTTCTTCAGCGCGTTGATAGTTTTACTTCAGTTTTGTTACGGTTTTGTCTCGTCCACAGTCTCGCCTGACTTCACAAGCTAATTTATCTTTTGGCCTCTAACATGTTTGCGTGTCTCTCCTATTCTATTGCGCATATCTTCTGTACTTTCTATCACTGACAATCATGATCAGTTTTCATGGTCGTCACGAGGGATCAGAAAACATCATCATAACAAATTTTCTTGTCCAAAGTGGCTCGGCCACTTGTTTTTCAAAGGCCATTTTGTCAGAGGAACTAACAGATTACGTCGTTGAGGGACTTCGTGAGCTCTTTCTGCTTGGGTGAAATTTCAGATTCTACAGGTGAACTAATTGGCACAATGAGACCCGTGGCTTGTCACGTAGACTTACTTCATATTATCGGAAGAACCTTAGCTGCTGCGTGGCTAAGGACATCCCGGAAAACGTTTTCATGTTACAAGTGCTTAAAAGTCAGCTCATCTGCGATACGATCGAGAGAATTTTTGGAATAATTCAATAAAAATTGTTAAGCTTTAAGCAGATCAAGAAAACCAGGGAAAGATCTCGTAAGTGCTGTAACACCAATCAATTGCTTGTTTTCCTTGAAAGCTGGACGTTTGAAGCTCGAGCAGATTCCACGCACGTCAAGTACTTGAATCACTGCTCTCTAGTGAGCGTGACTATTCATTCAGTAATACAACAGATGGCAGCATTTCATTTCTACGTGTGAACTCCTAGCTTAATTTTCATGTCTATGCCACACAAAAAACGTTTCAGTTCGTCCGTAAACAAGGTTCTTTGCGTGAGAAATCTGAAGTGATCACCTTCTGGAAAAAAACTTTTAATCTTCTTCGAGAGCTGACACACGTTTCTGTATTATATCACGTCCTTGGTTTTGCTTCAGCTCATTTTCTCTTGTTTGTTAGTCTTTCTTGACATGAAGTGTTGTTCAAACCGATTTAATTTTTGACCTCATAAGTACTATATTTGTCTAGTTATTTCTTCCTCTAGACTTAGCATCACGTCCTGAAAGATCTAAGGGGTACAAAGACACCAGGAAGTCTCTATCGTACTATAAAGGCCGACACAGTCAGCTTTGATAAGAATAGTACAGACTGCTTGTTTCTTTGGAACGTCTAAGCGAAACAAGTGAGCTTCTAGCAAGTCAGGAAACAATGGTTGGTTTATCACAAGAAGGAGAAGAGGCGAGTGCGCAAACATGGGGCAAGATGGTAAGGAACTTCTTGATCGTTCATTAGCACGTCAGGGCTTTGTTTCTCAATTAAGTTTTTGCTACTCCACTTCAATATTACTGAGCTGTTGATACAAAACTTTTGTCCTCATTCATCCCTTTAATCTTCGTCCCGTAATTTAATGCAACTATTCGAATTATGCGTCTCAGTAGCTTATGCCTGCAGTCTGTGTCTTTTGCTAAGATGTATTTAGCCATTATTGCCTTACAATGCAAGTAAAAGAAAAAAGCTAAGTGAAATATTCACTTCTCAGTGCTGAAATTAAAGAACGAAGAGACAACATTCTCGCAAAAAGGCGAATGTTTACTTACCCAGAACATTTGCCAAAGCCGCGATATATTCGTAGTTTGCGAGTGCAACCACCCGTTTCTTCCTTTGGCCATTCTTGGGTTTTAAAATGCCTGATCAAAATTTCCAAACTCGCGAAGGTAAAGTGGATATGATTCAAATTTTGGCTTTCTACGTTTTGCTTTTAGGCCCGACGGGTTCATCTGTTTCAAAAACAGACTCATTTGTAACCTTGTGATTTTACATAACGCATCAATGAATATCAAGAAACCTGTCAAGCATCACAAAAATGCAGAGGGAAATTGCTTTCTGAGGACATTTGGCCCCCCTAAGTATAACAAAACATGCTAACATGAATATTGGTTGGCTTATAATGCATGGATTACCAGCCACTTTCTTGGCGAGACCAGAACTCACCATGCGCTAAGGAATTGCATTTGATCTTATTTCGCTACAATACTATAAGGCAAACTTGGTGATTGACCTCAAATACTTGCGATCGCAATCACGGTGTCTATCAAAATCCTTTCCCCTATCCTTTCATGCTGCAACAATGGTCACCAAGTTAACCGTTCTTTGCGATGCATGGACAAAGTTATGGTGAACTCATGCTAAATCCTAGGACCGAATCGATTTTTAATCACAGCTTGGAGATGCTTAACCTAACTCTTTCTTTCTTCTCATGTTTCAGAAAGTTAGCATGGCAAAACTTATCAGAAAAGCAAAATCTCCGAAGCTTCTGGAAGAAAAGGCAAAAGGTTTGTTTTAACTGATGAATTTGAATATATGAAAATCATATATGTGTACGGCGGTTTTAAGAAATGATCCTCGCAGCAATAAAAACTACTTATGTAATAGTGAGAATAAGGTCTCTGCGATACCGGTGCAATGCTCTACCATCTGAGCGAACAAGCCAACTGGGAGCTGGTCATTATGTTAGTTTTGCTACTTATGAAGACCTCTGTACATTTTAAGACAGAAACGAATTATTTTGCAAGAAAAAGTCTCGCTGGTCAGCAAAGCAAAAAATACTGATATAAAATAAATATCAATTTTACGCTCTCAATGGTAACTGTTATGAAAGTCAGTGTACCTCAATGATGAATGGCAAAGCATAACCCTTCATTAGAATATGAAATATCGTTCTCGTAACAAAATATTGATTTTGATTCATAGGAAATGACGAAAAAGACGAGACATTATTGCAATTTTCTCCATGTGGACATTCCGCATCAGCATCTGTTCTTTCTCAGTCGCCGCTATCACTACTGGCTCAATCGCATGAAGAACCTTCATCACTATTGACGCCATGGTCTGCACAAGAGGCTTCATCAACACTGGCACCATGGCCTGGACAACAGGCTTCATTAACTCAGGTGCCATGGCCTGCTCGACAAGCTTCATCAACACAGGCACCATGGTCTGCACAACAGGCTTCATCAACACAGGCGCCATGGTCTGCACAACAGGCTTCATCAACACAGGCGCCATGGTCTGCACAACAGGCTTCATCAACACAGGCGCCATGGTCTGCACAACAGGCTTCATCAACACAGGCGCCATGGTCTGCACAACAGGCTTCATCAACACAGGCGCCATGGTCTGCACAACAGGCTTCATCAACACAGGCGCCATGGTCTGCACAACAGGCTTCATCAACACAGGCGCCATGGTCTGCACAACAGGCTTCATCAACACAGGCGCCATGGTCTGCACAACAGGCTTCATCAACACAGGCGCCATGGTCTGCACAACAGGCTTCATCGACACAGGCGCCATGGTCAGCGCAACAGGCTTCATCGACACAGGCGCCATGGCCTGAACAACAGGCTTCATCGACACAGGCGCCATGGTCTGCAGAACAGGCTTCATCGACACAGGCGCCATGGGCTGAACAACAGGCTTCCTCGACACAGGCGCCATGGTCAGCGCAACAGGCTTCATCGACACAGGTGCCATGGTCTGCGCAACAGGCTTCATCGACACATGCGCCATTCTCTGCAGAACAGGTTTCATCGACACAGGTGCCATGGTCTGCACAACAGGCCTCATCGACACAGGCGCCATGGCCTGAACAACAGGCTTCTTCGACACAGGCGCCATGGTCAGCGCAACAGGCTTCATCGACACAGGTGCCATGGTCAGCGCAACAGGCTTCATCGTCACAGGCCCCATGGTCTGCACAACAGGCTTCATCATCACAGGCGCCATGGTCTGCGCAACAGGCTTCATCGACACAGGCGCCATGGTCTGCACAACAGGCTACATCAACACTGGTGCCATGGTCTGCACAACAGGCTTCATCATCACAAGCGCCATGGTCTGCACAACAGGCTTCATCAACACTGGTGCCATGGGCTGCACAACAGGCTTCGTCGACACAGGCGCCATGGTCTGCACAACAGGCTTCATCAACACTGGCGCCGTGGTCTGCTCTTGTTACGATGTCAAAAGATGTGAAAGGTACGTTTGTACAGCGAGACTCGACGAGCAATTTTCAATCGAGTGTCGAAAGTAATCGAGGATTGCCTGGGTTTCATTTAACTTTGCTTCGTGATTGGTTCAGTAAACTTCCGTTATCCTCTCAACCAATCTAAAACCAATCACAAAATACAAAACTAAAACCAATCACGACTCGTGCGGCCGGGTTTTCCCGACCGCACTTCAAACAGTTTCCTGATTTAACTGTGAGTTCTCGTTGTCCAATGATAATGTAAACCATATTTCTGATTGGTCGAAGGGATTACCTTCATTTCGATTTTTCGAAACCGAATTAAAAAAGCTGATCTATCAGGAGAAGAAAAAGTTCTTAGGATCTCCACAGATCAAAAGACAAAGTATGTCTCATGGTAAAATTACTATATACTTAATTAGTCAGGTCAGTGCGATTAAACGTCGCCGACCATGAAAATATCATCTATATCTGGTGACATAAGGAATTCAATGCAAAGGTAATTGCTTACAATATCTTTCAGTAATAAATATGTATTATGCACGTTGATTCTCATTTTTTTTGCTTTAGACTTCAGTAATTTTAAGCGTAAAGGCCAAGAAAGAACTTTGGATGATGTTCAGATCTCCATCGAACAAGTTCCTGTTTGCAGAAGCATCCTAGTTACTGGGATTTCTGAGAATACTACCCATGATGCAATTGAACTGTGTTTTGAAAACCGAAAGAAGAATTGTGGTGGTCCTGTGGAGGAGGTCTCTTACACGCCTGGAAGTGGTAGAGCTGTGGTCGTGTTTGAAGATCCAAAAGGTGTGTAATCAATCGTTGTTTTTGGTATAAAGTATTTCTCTTTTGGAAAATGAAAAGTAACGATTGATTCAAACTTATCGTGTATTCAATGGGTGAGACCTAGGAAATTCACATTTCTTGAAAAGAGGGGATATCTCCGCTTCATAAAAGGTTGAGATCTCACCCATTCACTGAATAACAGTCCTCAAATCCTCCTTTCGCTCGCTGAAAGGTGTGCTACTCTAGCCTGGAAACTAAACAGTGTAGGTGACAAATGAAATAATTGATAAATGTAATTATGGTTTCACAGCCTCAGTGATTCTCTCGTCAACAAACTTACCTTATTTACCCCCTCTTATGACGTTTCTTTTGACACTCCAGTTTCCAATTACGTGAAAAGTTCGGTCGAAATTTTTGACATTTCTTTTCCCCTACAGACATGGCAAGAGTGTTTGACAGGCATCAGGAGCGACCAATTGTGTTAAACGGAAACCAACTTTCAATCAAAATCCACCAAGATGAGGTACGTGATAGAGTAGTCAATAGCACTCAAACGATTGAAAAAAAAGAGACAAGGGAAGCCAACTGGAAGCAGATCTCTCTACATGTTCCCAAAGAACACGTGATCTTGCTGAAGAAAATAAAGCTTGCGGATAAACTAGCAGACGAGAACAAGGAGTTAGAAATCAAGATGGACAAAGGAAAGGAGGAAATTTATATCGCAGGTCCTCAAGAACAGTTTATCGAGGTAATAAATAAGTTTTCCAATCAACTGAAAGACATGGTTATGAAGAATCTGAGCTTATCTGCTAGAGTTTTGAAAGTCTTATGTTCCGAAGAGGGGATTCAAAAAGTCAATCATGAGTTGGAAAGCAATGAGGTTGAGGCGATCTGTTTCATTGACAAAGATACCAAGATTGTGGGAACGTCAGCTGCGCACGCAGACGCTGCTGAAAAGCTCGTGAACGAGTTGATGCTGGAAAAACAAGTCGAAGTGGATGCTAAGAGTGATCATTTGTTAAAGTCAACTGAATGGATCAAGATATGCGATGAAATCAATGCAAAATCAACTGTCCATGTCTATGGAAACGTCTGGAATGATACCCGTGTAGCGGGGTTTAAAGATGAAGTCAGTGAAGTGTTGGAAAAGCTAAGTGCCTTCCTTGAAGACAACTACATCAGACAAGAAGATTATGTGTGCATCTCAGACCTTGTGAGAAGGTATATTGGCGAGTTTCGTCAAAAAAACCTACGATCCATCGAAGATCAGCTAAAGGAATTTGACGTTTCGATTAAAAATGGAGAAAGACCTGAACATTTTGAAATCTCTGGAAAGAGGGAAGGCTTGAAACGGGTTAGGAAGGAGCTTGATGAACTTACAAGTAATATTGCGACACATACTTTTGACGTGGAGCAGCCAGGACTCCTGAAGTACCTTGACACTGAAAAAGGAAGATGCTTGGTGAAATTAGTGGAAAATGAGCAAGACTGTGTCATTGATTTAAAGGAGAACTTGTGCAGTGAGTCAGAAGCTGAATCTACTGCCTCTTCGGGTGACAAAGAGATGACTATCGAAGAAGGATATGAAGATGATGATGAGATAAACCGTGACAGTGATAATGACAATGACAGTGTTGGAACTGCTGATGATAGCAAATGTGATGATGATGATAATGATAAAGTGGACCAAAATAGTGCCAGTGGTGGTGGCCTTGATGATGATACTTCTGCTGTTGATAAAAGTACCACTGGTGGAAATGATTCGTCAACTCTTGTAACAATCCATGGCCATAGTATATCATGGAAACCTGGACTCATCGAGAAAGAAAAGGTACTTTAATTTTTACATAAGAATTAATCTGTGCAATTATGAATACAGCATTACAGATTGATAGCAAAATGATGGTCTAGGTTCACTTACGACTCCCCTGATCGGTTAAAAATGGCATTATGCAAATGTTTTAACGAAATATTCTTGAGCATCTTTGAACATGCTGCGAATCACAAAGTTACTTTGTAATTTTTAACGTTGAAAAGATCGTTTTTAGTTGGAAAAAAAATCTCACAAATACTCGCCCCTACATGTAATGCAGAGTGTTTTGAAGGGTTGTTTGGATATTGTTGAGTTTCGACCTTTTTTATTAGTGTTTGTATTATTAGTAAGCTTGCATGCAGTCTCTCTTCAGTAGCAGTTAATTAAAACCTCTGTTGATTCGAAAACTGTTATTGATTTATGAAAAGCCTATATTAGTTGAGTCGAAATAGATATTTTTTGAGGAGAGGAATTCTTACAAATTTCTTGGACTTGCTTTACAGGCTGATGTACTGGTCAGCTCCCACGGGAGTTGCACTGAAGCAATCAGAAAAGCTGGTGCTCCTTATAAACCAATTCCAGATGTTGGCGAAGTTAGTGTTTCACGTGGTTTAACCCCAGCCACTCACGTGATCCTCACTCACTGTTGCGCGTGGGACGGTGTCAAGGGTGGGACGGCGGAAAAGGTAAGACTTGTGCTTTTTGCTCATATTAAAGAGAGTTATACAAGACCAAATTGGTCCACAAAAATGATAGATACAAA